CTAACATCTGCGGGGAAGTGGATCCTGCTTTGAGGTCACTTCCTTCAGCACAGGTTTTGCCTTCGTCATCGAGACTCCACGTCCTCTCCCACCCTGGCCAGGATCCCCTTCCCCCATCTGTGGCTGCAGCTCACTTAGCTGTGTGAGCCCTGCCCTCTCTGTGCACACTTGGTCTGGAGCACTCTGGGACTGCTGGGCAGCTGCCCACATGCCAGCCGTGAGGTTGGCCAGCCGCTCTTGTTCAGGAAAACGGAAAAGATGCCATTGGACTATGCCCATTCATCAATCATATCCTATAATAGTGCTACCACCCCAGCAAAGACAGAGATTCCTTAGCCTGGTACAAATGTAGACCACAGTCTTTTTCCTGTGAGGGTGAAAGATTTTCCTCTGGATGGCTCCCGCCAGGTGCCTGGTGAAAGGGGTCAACTTGGGCCCAGGCCATTCTCAAGGCCACTGAAAGGGCAAGCTAAAAGCATTGGTTTTTTTACCAAGACAAAGATTTTCTTGAAAGAAGGGCATTTCTTTCAAGAAGGGCATGAGATATTTATGTTCTCCAGATCATCAGCGCTGGGCTTCTCAGCAGCAGTTGGCTGCATTTTTGTTCCAGTGTCTTCCAAAGGAATTGAGTTTTCCCTCTTGCTTTTGACTCTTCCCGTTCCTCAAGGAAGCCATGAAGCTGGAATGTATCAGTGGTGGAATGATCCATTAAATTCAAGGGTGAAAACATCACACCACTCAACCCCACTCACTTACATCAGAAATCTTTAAAATAGGGCATAAGTGAGTCTTTATCTCGAATTCTGACCCAATGGGTCATTTTACTCCTGGTGTTACATAGTGGTTACTAGAATAGAATGCAGATTTAGAATTCTTGTGGGAAACTTGCTTTTCTAAACGTTCTTTGATAATAAATGACTGGGAGTAAGATAGATCCAACACTCTTGGGGTTGCAACATTTCCATCACACCCTCAAAAGGAGGCATTGACTGTGATATAAATTCCTCCCCACCTAATTTCCAGATCATGCTCTCAAAGTATTCTGGCAACTTTCTGTGTAAACCCTAACAGCAGGAAGTCTCTAGCAACCAGACTGCTTGCGGGGGTTGGAATGGTCAGACTCATTTTGTGCAGAGTAGCTTCGTGCAGCCTCGCTGTTGGTGGAACAACCAGCTCTGGAGTCCTGGCCTGAATGTAAGCGCCGGTATAATGTGTAGAAAATGCTGACAGATAAAACCACTTGGAGCACAGGCTTTTGCTTGGCTTCCAAGGAGACAGGCTATTTCTTAAAATAAACCCAGGACAATAGTAATGTCTCGTTTTCTCCTACCCTGGGAAGTAGAAATCAACACCTAACCTGAGACATTTATGTTCTCCAGATTATCGGCGATGGGCTTCTCAGCAGCAGTTGGCTGCATTTTTGTTCCAGCATCTTCCAAAGGAATTGAGTTTTCCCTTTCCCTAGATAGCAAGCAATACTTAAGAAGTAACCAAGGTAAAAAGTAATCTCCTGTAGGGGTCCAGCTGTGTCCATTCCACCCCACTGAGACATAAGCACTTCCCTCCAGCACTTCCCTGGGCTTGGTAGGGGAGAAACGGGCCAAGAAGAAAGCAGGCCACTGCATACCTATTCAGGGGAAATGAGCTGCACCTCTGCACAGTTGTCTCACCAGAAAACCCCTTTTCACATCATGTTGGAAAACTGTTATCTGTCTCTAAGCTTATGATAATTTGATGACCTGCCCCTTCATTTTGAAAGGGGTGCAGAGGTCCCTCCAGCATAAGGTGCTTGGTTGTTTGAGTGGGTTTTCACCTGGCAGCAGTTATCTCTGCCAGTGGTGACACAGGTGCAGGTGTGCACATGGGCTTTGCATCTATGCACATCCACGGGTATCATGTGTCCTCTTATGTGATCAGCAGGCTCACATTCACCTTCTGTTCCACAGAGGCCCAAAACTGTTACCGGAGTTTGTCTGGGCCCTGGTGTGCTCCTTGCCGAGAATCCACGTGGCTCCTCTTGCGGCTTTGGTTCTGCCTAGGACAACAGCACATTTTTGAGAAAGGAGTGCAGACCAGGAAACAGCCCTCCTGGAGAGCCCAGGACAGAAAAAGGCGGGCGACCCGTCTCACCTTCTGGGTGTTTAGGTTATGTGACCCTGTGAAGCCTAGGAAAGAACATACTGTGGAGCAGCATTGTCTTTGCCTTGCGCTTGGCGTTTAGTGCTTTACGGAGGAAATCTGCTTATTGTTGAGCAGAAGCGACATCTGGGAGAGGATGGGGGCAGGCAGGTGCGGTCGGTGCATCCCTCAGCCGCATTTCCCAGCCAGATCCCAAACAGTGCAAGTCATAAGAGGCTTTCACACCCTGTTTCTCTTCAAGCCTCCGTCTACTTAAAATACTTCCCTCCCTGCCAAACGGGATATTGAAAAGTGACTTTGCAGCACTTTTTGCTCATCTTCCCGCACAGGCTTTTCAGCCAAGGCCTATCTTGAAATGTTGCATTTTCCCTTTCAACTTAACTATCCAAGCAATTGTCTACTAAATTCTTTGTTGTGATTTACAATTTGACTTGAATAAATCTGGTTAACACCCCAAAAGGAAGAAAAGAAAAAGGCATTTCCAGGAGAAATCACCCCGAGAAGACTGTAGAGCATTGGAGCCTTCTGCAGACCTTGGGGTCCCAGCAGCGCCAGGTCCTTGGTTCCTGCTCCCCAGTGCCACTTGGAGGCTCTCTGGTAACTGCCCGGGCAGCCCCGATGATCCCTGCCTTGCTGAGACACCTCAGAACTGCTCTGGCACGAGAGCTTGCAGAAGCAGTGCCGTGCGTTGCTGAAAAGAACCTGGGAAGCCGTTCGTCTCTCTGCTTGCCCTTCTCTTGTCAGCCCCAGAGGCCCTTTCCTGCTCTTCTCCAACTCTGGGATCTGATGTTCCTCCTCCACCACTGTTCCACAAGCAGCGCTCCCTCATTTCCTCCCTACTTTTGCCCCACCTGCTCCACCATGATATCATTTCCTTCCTACCTGTGATGCCACCGGAACCCCATAGGAGGACTGCGCCTGCAGAGCCCTGACCCTGTTTGACACTTGGCTCTCTGAGCTGTTTTCCCCATCTATGAAACAAAGGGATAGGATCAGATGATTTTTATTCCCCATTCTAGCTCAAAATGTTGAGTCTTGAGATTATCCTCTTCCCTTGGCCCGTCAGATAAAACAGAGCAGGCACCACCCTCAGTTGCTGCACGACCTGGAGCTGGTCAGTGATGTGGCCGTTGCCCAGGGGCCCTGAGCCTCAGCCCGGGGAGGCCCTGCTGCATTGCACCCGCCCAGCAGCTGAGGGTGCAAAGGGGTGGGCAGGCAGGGAAGCGTTCAGGTGTCTAGGCTCGGATTTTCCTAGACTTGCCATCTCAAGTGACTTAATTGCAGCTAAGTTAGGTCAATAAATAGCAATGGATGATCAACATGAATAAATGGTGACTTTTTCTGTGTACCTTAGTAGTCAAAAGTCACGATGATAGCTTATCTGTGCACACGCTGCTGTTTTTAGATTTTTAAAATAAACTCTGTTTTAGGATAGTGTTAGATTTACAGAAGAATTGTGAAGAGTACAGAGCTTGGTTGTGCCCCTCACCATTTCCCGTTAGTAACATGTATCTTACTTTGGTGGGTACGTTGGTTATAATCAGTGTCGATGTGCTATTACTAACTGTCATCCATATTTGATTCAGGACCCCGCATTGCATTTACTCCTCACATCTCCTTAGCTCCTCTAGGATCTGATATTTCTCAGACTTTCCTAGTTTTTAAGGACTGTGACGGAACCAGTCAGGTATTTTGTAGAATGGGATGTGCCTGATGATTTTCCCATGGTTAGCCTGGGGCTGTGCGTTTTGGGGGAAAGACCATGGAGGTGAAGTGCCCGTCACATCACATGCCCACCTGTCTGTCACTGCTATTGGCCTCAGTCACCTGCCGCAGGTGTTGGTTCTCCAGTTTCCCCACTGAAGAGTTTATATATCCTCCCACCCCCACCCTTCCATCCTGGACTCTGTGGAAGGAAGTCTCTCCCCTTCAGGCGTGGGGAGCAGAGCTCCCCCTTTTTGAGGGTGGATGCTGGTCTATCCTTGCCGAGGGCTCACCTATTGCATCTGGCCAGGCAAGGTGGGCCTGTAGGTGGGAGGAAAGCAATCTCGGAGCCATCCCACAAGGCATAAGATGTCGTGGACCCTCATGGGACATGCTCCATGTGACAGTGGGGATGAATGAATACGTGTCCTCTTGTGACAAGTGCTCAGGAGCATATCAGACATGCATATCTTTCATGTACCATAGAGCACATTGGGCTGACATTCCAGCCCAGAGGAAAAGTGTTCCCTGGAGGAGTAACGGTGATGAAAAGCCCTCACTTGTAATAACTCAATGGTTTTCTGCTTAGACCTATCTCTTTGTTACCTTAAAAGTGGAGGCAACATGCTCCTTACCCTCAGGGGATCCTAGAAAAATGTACCAAAAAGAAACAAAAAAAAGCATTGTTATTGCTATTCAGGGCCTGTGAGTTTTAATAATTTAATAATGAAATTAAGATGTGGTTTGATTTGCCTTCTATTATAGCATACTTGAAATACCACCTTGTTCTTCCTGGGGTATCGCCTGATGACTGAGTGTAGGAACAATGTCATTAATGCATGTTTCCTCTACACATCATTTTCACCCACGGAAGAGTCTCCATTAAGAGGAGCTGAAATAAATGCGGAAGCTCAGAGACCACAAAGTGAAGTCAGCTGCATCTATTGGCCTGCTGAGATAACTCTGTATAGGCCGGTGAGACTGGAGAAGTCTGCGTGCTTCTGACAATCGATGGTGGGATTCTGCGAATGAAATCATTTTAGCAGGAAATGATTATGAAGGACCTGATCACTGTGTGTGCTTCAATAATGTGATGAGATGAGAGTAATGGGTGAAATGAAGAGCAGTCAGGAAACGTCTTTGTTCTTTTTCAACAGATCTGAACAGCAACATGGGGTGCAAAGGGCTGCTCAACATTGGCCAGCAGATGCTGCGACGGAAGGTGGTGGACTGCAGCCGGGAGGAGACACGGCTCTCTCGTTGCTTGAACACTTTTGACCTGGTGGCCCTTGGGGTGGGCAGCACGCTGGGTGCTGGCGTCTACGTCCTGGCTGGAGCGGTGGCCCGTGAGAATGCGGGTCCTGCCATTGTCATCTCCTTCCTGATCGCTGCACTGGCCTCGGTGCTGGCCGGCCTGTGCTACGGGGAGTTTGGTGCTCGGGTCCCCAAGACAGGCTCAGCTTACCTCTACAGCTACGTCACCGTTGGGGAGTTCTGGGCCTTTATCACTGGCTGGAACTTAATCCTCTCCTACATCATCGGTAGGTCCCAGGGAGCCTGGAGCTTGTGCTCTCTGCCACTTTTCTGTTGGTTCCCAGCTCCAGAGTGTGGGCAGATGCCCCATGGGGAAGTCATTCTTGTTAACGTGAGAGTCACAGAGTTAATGGGATGTTTCTGAATCATTTAAAAGTATTTAGTTTCTTTTAGTATGTTTTTTGATTACTAGAGTAAATGCATCACTGATAGAGAAAAATTGGGGAAATAAAAGCACAAAGAAGAAGGTAGAAATACCCTGCCTGACAACCTGGAGAAACCAATTCTCTTATTCCTTCCTTCCTTCAGTCTTTCTTTTAATAAATGTTTATTGAGTACCAGCTCTGTGCCAGGCATTGTGCTAGATACTAGGGAATCCCATGCATAAGACAGTCTCTGTTCAGAAGTTTACTGTCTACCGATATAACTATTATTAACATTTTTTGTGAACTTAAATGTGTATTTTTGTACAGTCTATCTCTTTATAAAACAATGTATAGGAAACATTTCTCATATCGTTAGCTGTTTTGCCATAGTAATACTTGCCTACCATGTAGATTTATACACACAGCGTAATGTGTAGGCTATCTTTATGGGACTTTCAGATTGTTTCCATGACATTGTTGCTGATGTTATACACAGTTAATTACTTTATGTCTTGGGGCTTAGCCATGATTTTTTTCCTTAAAACTGTCTAAGGAGCAGAGTGGCTCTCGGTGAGTGTGCATGTGTTGAAGGCCTTTGCTGGCTGTGATCCTCACGTGGCCAGGGCCCCTTTCCCTGCAGTGTGGGCACGGGGCTTCGGCCTGTAACACAACCACCCAGCAAATAAAGAAGCAGACAGAAAATCTTTCCAGTTTGTCAGGTAAACATGCTTTGCTTCTCTTTATGCCTTTTTTTTTTTTTTTTTGTATTTTGATTACAACTAAAATTGAACACATCCACTTAAAAGAAACAAACACCTAAGTCTCAGAAGCAGCAAAGGGTACCAATGGCCACTCGACATGCCATTTATTTTTTTGCTCAAACTTTTTGGTAACAGTGAAAAATAGTAAGACTTGGTAAGTTGAACCATGTAGGTCCCGCCTTGCTTCTGTATCAGCTCCTGCTGGGCCCTACCCCACCCTCCCTGCCATGCATGCCGCCTGCCGGGACCCTCACTGCCCTGGGCTCCCTACAGCCCTATCTCTGCGTGGGGGGGCACCACTGCCCCTTCATCAGGACAGTGGCGGAGGGCACGCACTCACGCTCTCTGAGCAGCACCTTTTCTTTCTTTCCAGCAGCTGCAGTATCTGCCGAGAGCCAACATACCTTACTCTTCTGAATTCTAAAATAAAATTCATAATGTTTTCTTTCAGTGCCACATCAAAACTTACAACCACACATGGTTCTCACAAGCTGAAGTCTCTCAGTGGGAATGTAGCTATTACAAATGGACCGTCATGTTTCCAGACCTGAGCATAAAATACACATTGAGCATGAAGTGCTTGCAGCATCTAGACCAGCAAATGAAAGGCTCTGTCAGAGTGCCATTGGCTTGTGTGAGGCCATTTGCATGCATTCTGAAAATTTCTTTGCAGCCTTAGCTGATGGGAAGGGCAGTTTTTCCAGCAATCATTTTTGTTGTTGTTGTTGTTAAAGGCATGATTTAGAAATTGGAAGGGAGTAGGCTGGGAAGAAAGGCTGGGTAGCCCCTCTCATCCTGCAGGACAGGGTTTGGGTGCCAGATTTGCCGTGAGCCAGCCGCTCTGGGGGTGACAGGGAGATGGTGAGACCATTTTTATAGAATTCATATTAGACTGGCTGCTCAGGAGAAAAAACTGTGGTTAAACTTCTGATTGTTGCAAAGATACTTATCATAAGACCAAATAGTGAAATTGAATCTCTGCAGATCAGTCTGACAAAATGCTGTGGGTAATTAGGACCATGGTCACCAACAGGGCCCCCTTTGAAAATAAAGGAAAGTGCTCTATGCATATACTGGAATTTTAGTGCCATTTCCTGAGAAACACCATTGGAAGCACACTCTTGACTATCATCATAATTAAAGAGAGTGAAAGAGAGCAGCCACCTCTTTTTGGCATTTCAGGTGCTGCCCTGTTGGTGTTCTTCAGTGCTGGAGGGTATAGGCTGAGGGGAGAATTAGGAGGGCTGGGCTCTGACTGTGGTCCTGCACTCTGGGGACGCCGTGGCCTCCAAGTCAGGTTCATGCACAAAGTGGCAGAGGTGGCTGATGCCTGCTCTGAGGTGAGCAAGTGGCTTTGTCCCTGAGATGGGGTTCAGCCCCTTCAAGGACCTCTAGAGGTCAAGGACCTCTTCTTGCTGGGAGAACAATGTTTTGGGGGTGCAGGTACCATCACCTCTGCTATCGAGGGGTTCCTAGAAAACGGGCTTCCTAAGCAACGTTTGCCCAGACTGCCAGTTGCACCCCAGGAGTGCATTATGAAATCAATTTTTCATGTGTTGTCATCAGTATTTACTTTTTTAGATGAAAATAGGTAGCATTAAATACTATCAGAGTGCCTCTCAGATGGTAAGGGCAACGCTCGTTTTGCAAACTTTTTATTCAGATATATATATTTGATAGACACCTGTGCATATTAAGTAGGATGTGAAATGCATTCCTCTGTAGGCCCTAGAAGCCTTCTCGCACTTAGTACTAGTTACCCATCACTTCTGGCTCAGCGTGCACTGTGGTCTGGCTGCTGCCGCCAGGTTCCGGTGCGCCGCCTGTGACTCCTGCAAGGATGCTGTAGGAGCTCCGCTACAAATACCTTCCTAACCATTGTCCTCCCATCCCCTCTGCTGTGTGTGCTTTGTGGCAGGTACTTCAAGCGTAGCGAGGGCCTGGAGCGCCACCTTCGATGAGCTGATCGGCAGACCCATCGGGGAGTTCTCGCGGACACACATGGCTCTGAACGTCCCCGGCGTGCTGGCCGAAAACCCCGACATATTCGCCGTGATCATAATTCTTATCTTGACAGGTAAAGACCACACTGAAAAAGAGATGAGGTCAGAGTGTTGGGCAAAGGTTCGGTGAGAGGCTCCCGTTAAGCTCCTTTGTTTTCTCATCTCTTTAACCATAACCCCCATCTCTCTTTGTTTTGTTTTTGTGCTTCATACAGGCATCTTTATGTGTCCCTGTCTTCATGGCTTCTTATAGATTCATATAGGGCTGAATCTATATGAATCTACTATGAATTTAGCAGAGAATACTGCTTCATAGCTGTTGAGTTATGTGCCATCTCATTAAAAGAGAATCTTAGGTGTTTAGCCGTTTGTGGAATAAGATTTTGTCAGCACTGCAGGCTTTTTATGTGAGTATCCTGGGAATACAAATTCTTTTGACTCAGTGGATGACCATTTGGAAAGCAAAGCTGTCATTCATCCGCCAGGAAAATGTGGAGGAATGAGCCCCGTCTGGAACACGAATGTGTGCCTGGGGTGTCTGAAGACGACTTGGATGGTTTTACACCTAACAACCATCAAAACACCCTTTGAATACATAAGTTTCACGATAGAGTTGTAGTTACAGAATTTGAAAAATCCCAGAGACTGCCCGAACACAGCCCATGGCTCCTTCTTGCTAGTGACATTTGTGCGTGACTTGGCCAGTGGGATGCGAGTTTTGCTCTGTGGGACTCCATAAACATGAAGCTGAAATGCAGATAAATTCTCATTTGGGATTAGAAAATCTTGGATGAGTTTTAAAAACGACATGCCATATTTTACACACCACGTAACTGAAATAACTTCACTCAGGCTGGTCTCAGCAGTATTTCGAGTCCAGCTGGCAGAATCATGCATCAGAAAGTAAGTCTGCACTAGTAAGGTTTCATTTTAATAAACCTGAGAGGGAGGGACACTAAAGAAAAAAATATATTGGTGCGTGTCAAGGTGTTCTCCCTGTGATTAATTACACAATTCTCTTCTACATTTGTACTTTAGAATTCAATCTCATAGGTACAGCAGTTTTTATTTTATTTTATTATATATTTTATTTTATTTTGAGACAGTCTTGTTCTGTCGCCCAGGCTGGAGTTCAGTAGCATGATCTCAGCTCACTGCAACCTCTGCCTCCTGGGTTCAAGCGATTTTCATGCCTCAGTCTCCCAAGTAGCAGGCACATACCACCACACCCAGTTAATTTTTTATATTTTTAGTAGAGATAAGGTTTCACCATGTAGGCCAGGCTGGTCTTGAACTCCTGACCTCAAATGATCTGCCTGCCTCAGCCTCTCAAAGTGTTGGGATTAGAGGTATGAGCCACCATACTCAGCCAGTTTTTATTTTAAAACTATGAGAGGCGTCCATAGTAGGGCAGTGGTCTCAAATTCTGGCTGTGTTTGAGTGGTACCGGCCCCTTCTGTGCCACTTTTCTTGCCCAGCAGAGAGTTCAGCTGTGGAACTACCTCTTTCAGCTATGAATGACCTCTTGACCATAAGGTGGTACTGGGGCATACACCTCAAAGGCAGCGCTGCCAGAGGTTCCAGGGCATCTTTATTACTTACTTTTCTTAAAAAAAAAAAAAAAAAAAAAAAAGTGAGTTTGCAAGCTAGAGCTAGTCTAGCTCAGATGTTATTTTATATGCACTGAGTCCAATGAAGAACCATGTATGTTAGTGGTTCCAGAACCTCAGCTAGCTGTTATTGTCGATACCACTAACAACCCAAAGTCAACCAAAGCAATTTCCTCATCTGCAGAATGCCCATTCTCCCAGGAAACTGAGCAAAGTGTTTCCTCCTGGATTTGTTCCTGGAGGTTGCTTCCCAGCAGCGCATCTTTTTAGTGAGAGGGAGCAGCTTGGTGTGTGGGTCCAGGCCTTCTACTCCCTATAAGAGGTGCTCATGCTCCAGATCTCTGCAGTCCTCTGAGGCCTCTTAGGTGGGTGTCTCAGTTCCCAAGGCCACCTAGGAAAGCCTGGGAAGTACCCCACAACCTCAGTGATTGAGACCCCTGTTCTTTGCCCCTAGAAAGATCATTAATCCGCCCCATTCCCAGAAGCTCACAGAGGTCTGCAGAGGCTCGATGCACTTGGATTCTTTTTCAGTCACCTTCTCCTCTCTATCCAGGAAGGACCTCCTAGTTCATGGTTAACACTCCGACAGGGTTTTCTGTTATCCGTTTTTTCAGGACTTTTAACTCTTGGTGTGAAGGAGTCAGCCATGGTCAACAAAATATTCACTTGTGTCAACGTCCTGGTCCTGGGCTTCATAATGGTGTCGGGATTTGTGAAAGGATCGCTTAAAAACTGGCAGCTCACGGAGGAGAATTTTGGGAACACTTCAGGCCGTCTCTGTTTGAACAAGTGAGTTGCTGCTTCTGACCATTTTTCTTATTTGATATTTAGTGACGCAGACATGTATTGGGGGATGTAACTGGCCAGGAAGGTGTGTGCCTTTAAAAAAACATTATTTGAGTATATTTTGTTAATTTTTTTTCTTTTGCAGCAAAGTAGCTGAGTGTATTTTGTATGTTTCAAGTTTGTGTGTAGGTTTATTCCCCTGAAATGGAAAGACTATTTTATGACAAGGAAGATGGAGGAAAATAAGATCATCCCCCTAATTCCAAATTGTGTATATTTCAGGATTCTTGTCAGACCTCATTAAATGATCCCTCTTTCCCCAGATTCTGTTTGATGGCCAAGTTTTGAATTCCATATTCAGAAAGGATTTTTCTCTGCAGTGCCATGGTGACCTACCTTTACCTTTACATACCTTCCTATTGTTTATAACGTAGATGGAAGAGGAATATGTGGAACTTTTTTTTGAAGGTTTTCAGAATTACCGAAGTGTCAGAATGTGAGCACAACCATCTCTTTTCCGACATCTGACTTGTGCTGCTCCAGCCCTGACGACAGTGGCCCCTTCACCCTCAATGCCTCTGACGTGGACACCCGGAGCTGGAGGTGACAGCTCCCCACTGTGCCATCTCAGGCCTCTCACCCAGCCCCCACTGACAAGCTCAGATTACCTAGGAAACAAAGCCAAACAGTCATAATATATCTTTCTAAATCTTCTGTCAGATCTTCAGGTAATACTTTAGGTCCCAGGATGGAGAATGGGGAGTTGAATTTTGTGTGAGATTCTTCATTAAGACTGAAGGTTGAAACTGCTATGATAAAGAGACCCTCCCCATGGCGCCCGCCCCCCTCCACCCGGCAGAATGGGGTGGCTTTCTTTTCTTTTCTTTTTTTGAGATGGAGTTTCAGTCTTGTTGCCCAGGCTGGAGTGCAATGGCGTGTTCTCAGCTCACCACAATCTCCACCTCCTGGCCTCCAGCAATTCTCCTGCCTCAGCCTCCCAAGTAGCTGAAATTATAGGCATGCACCACCACTGCTGGCTAATTTTGTATTTTTAGTAGAGATGGGGTTTCTCCATGTTGGTCATGCTGGTCTCAAACTCCCAAACTCAGGTGATCCACTCGCCTTGGCCTCCCAAAGTGCTGGGATTACAGGTGTGAGCCACCGTACCCGGTTAATAGAGTGGCTTTAAAGAGATGTTTCCAGTCCTGAAATGAGCAGTCCAAGTTGGCTGGCCAGCTCTTCCACAGGCCTCTGGGGACCCAGACAGCTTCCGTCTTGCCCCGTCTTCCCCCAGGACGTTGTCCTCGTCTGCCTGGTCAGAGCTGGCTGTAAGCACATGCGTGGCCCAGCTCTCCCAGGAGGGAAGGGAGAGTGTGGAGGAGTGCCCAGGACTGCTCAGGGCAGACTCTGATGGCACACAGACGTTCCATTGGCAGGAGTCCACTGGAGGCCACACTGAGCTGCAAGGGAGGCTGAGCAGCGCTATCATTGGGAATCGTAGCAGTCACATATGCCCAGTTGGTCCCTGGTTCAGGGCCAGGTGCCCAGCCATGCCCTCCAGGGTTGTTACCAGCAGGCAGCCATTGATGTGTGACTCGTTTCTGCTTGAATGGAGATAGGAAACTATGGCATTTGGTGTGTGGAACTTCACTAACACGAATATTGTGTGGTTAGCAGTTCTTTTTTTTTTTGAGACGGAGTTTCGCTTTTGTTTAACCCAAGCTGGAGTGCAATGGCGCGATCTCGGCTCACCGCAACCTCCGCCTCCTGGGTTCAGACAATTCTTCTGCCTCAGCCTCCTGAGTAGCTGGGATTACAGGCATGAGCCACCACACCCGGCCGGCAGTTCTAATAAAAATACCCTTGCTGTCCTAAACTCCAAAGCAGAGAAAGGAGGACTTCTAATATGTCACCCCAAGCTTTCCAGAGTCATGTTTATGCCAAATTTGTGGGTGCCCATTAGTTCAGGGTACAGTAAAGCCAATTCCAGCTGTGCTTTGAGGTAACATAGTAGCCTTTGAAAACTCTGAGAGCATATTTGACCGGTTGCTATTTTCAGGTCAGGAATGAACTATAAAGGGCACCTCTTGTTAGCTGGTTGCCAATCGAGATTTAATTTTGTTATTTTTATGAAGAGATTTGTTTGTGCCAGCCCATGGTATTTACTTTCACGGGTCATCCTCACACTGATGCCCTGGTAGTGATGAGCCGTACTGACCCCCAGACAAACAGCATTTGTTGTCCTAGCCCCTGGTCACAGTTGGGGCCCCCTCAGCTATATCTGGAGGCCTCACTGCCAGGGCCCAGCCCCCCGCCCACAGGGATGGCAGGGGATCGGTCGTGTTAGGAGGTGGGGTTCTGCAGGACTGAAGCCTCGCTGCCTGCTCTATCGTTTTGTTAAAATATCTGAAGCATCTTTCTTTCTTTTTTTTCCCCAGCCACAGCTTTGTGTTTCTGACAACACAGCCATGTAGTCTTGCATGAAATTGCTTGTTCCTCTGAAATAGTAGAGCACTGCCCAGCCGATCTGTATGACATGCAGGAGCTTCAGCGTGCATGGGAGGCCATGCGACCACGTGGGCTTGTGATTTCAGGATGCTCTCTCCTAGCCGTCTGGGAAGGCCCCTGGGAGCTGGCTCGGTCTGTCTGTTGGTCTGTGAAGAGGAGTGTTACCTTGTGGTCTGGATGGCTCCTCATGCCTTTGACTCATGCTGCTGCTGGCATTCCCATCCAGTGTTCTGTGGACGTAGCAATAGTGAATCAACCCCCAATGGAAGCCTGTTCAGAAAGCTTTGTTGAATGGGTGTCTGCCAGTTAGGATGGAAGCCCCAAAATAACATTGGCTTCAACGAGATAAGGGTTTGCTTATCTCTGGGGGTGGTCAGTCCAGTATTTCACTTCACCCAGCCAGGAATCCAGGCCAAGGGCCCCAGGCTCCTCCCATGCAGCCAGCAGGATGGACATGGGAACAGCAGGGGGCTGTTTCTCAGGAGATGTAGACACCATGTCTGCTCAAACCTCCATCAGAACTTAGCTAGCTGGTTACCCCTTGTAGCTAGCAACTCTGGGAAACATACAGTTCTAGGCTCCTGATTCTTAAGGCTCGTATGGCCAGCTACAATACTTAAGGCTTCCATTACTGCGTAGAAGAACAGGAGAGTGTGGCTTCTGAGGACAACCAGCAGTTGATGTCAGGGTGGCCGGTGTAAGTGCGGGCAGCGGAGCCCTGCTGCAGGATGTTCACTGCAGATGCAGTAGGAGACCCTCGGGCCTGGCCCCTTTCTATGCCAAGGTCTTCACCGCTTCTGAGCGACCAGCTGAGTAGAACACAGAAGGGCTGGTCAAAGGCTGCAGGGCAGGGAGCACTGAGCTGAGACCAGGACTCAGGCTCACTTTGTCTCGGGGTAACATTTGCTGGGTGAGGGCTCTTGGTAGCCCCTCTCCTAAACATGTGAGTTGCCAGATGAGTGAACACAACCACCACATGCATGTAACAGGTTAATTATTGATTATCTACAAAGAGACCATTATGAAATGCTTCTACATGTTTTGGTTGGCCTCTGTAGAATGGGTTCTGTGGTTATTTTGTGTTGATACTCTGCCACTGGCATCAGTAACACCCAAACTTTTCTTAAAGGTTGAATTTGATTTTTTGAGTAGGTAAAATACTACATGGTTCATAGATCATAATGCTTTAAAAAAAGATTTGCAGTGTGCTCCTTTCTTCATCCACCTTATCTCCCACCCCACAGGTAAACTTTTTAAGGTATGTGTGTGTGTGTGTGTGTGTGTGTGTGTGCGTGCTCGCGCGTGTGTAGACTTCCAGTTTCTCTCTGTGTAAGTACAAGCAAATACAACCATGTATAGTCCTTTTCTGTTACACAAAACATGGCATTCCATATACATTGTTCTGCTCCTTGCATTCTTGCTTACTAGAATACCCTGCAGATATTTTTATATGAGCTACAACCTTGTTCGTTGTTACGGTTGCCCCAGGTTTTGGCACCTGCGCCCTCCTGAGGTCGGCTGTAGTGGTGCAGTATGAGGAGCAGGTGTGGCAGGTCACAGTCAGCGGGGCCAGTTTGTAGATGCTCACGGCTGCACACAGCTCTGGAGTTGATGCGGCACAGCACTTGCCTTCACCCTGTTCCATCAGCTGGAGGGTTATCCAGTCTCTCCTGCAAGGATGCTTTTTGTTTTGGCTCCTCTCTTTGTGCTCACCCATATCCCTTGCTTCCCTCTCTCCATGCTTTTACCATTGTGTGTGCTTTACCTGTCTGCATGAGGAAGACACATTCCAGCCCTTCTTAGTCCTCTCTGTGAGTTCATCTCTTTCTGATTTAATTGTGTATACAGTTCCCTGCACTTTCTGTTTGCCCTGAAATGGGGGTTTCAGGACCTTTCTGGGTGCCTCTGCCTCATGGCTGCCTAAAGCTCATCTATCCATGATAGCATTCATTTTTAAAATTTATTTTACAGACAAGATTTTGCTGTGTTGCTTAGGCTGGGGTGCAGTGGCACAATCTTGACTCACTGCAACTTCAAACTCCTGGGCTCAAGCAATTTTCCCACCTCAGTTTCCCAAGTAGCTGGGACTATAGTCACATGCCAACATACCCAGCTAGTTGGAAAAAAATTTTTTTGTACTGATGGGGTCTCACTGTGTTGCCCAGGCTGGTCTTAACTTATGGCCTCAGGTGATCCTCCCCTCTCGGCCTCCCAAAGTAGACATGCATTTATTTTAATGCACGGCCATGTTGGTAGCTCTCGATGCCATAGGAGCTGAGTGAGGCAGTGAGACTTTTCACTGCCTGCCAGTCACCCTGGCTGCCCACGTGGGGCCCCAGAAGACATTTTGACTCTTGAGTTCCCCTCCTCCTGTGGTCTTATCCTCCCCCTCCTGAGCCATTTGGTTGTCACCTGTTTTGTCTTAAGCATAGGCCGCTGTATAACAGCAGCCATTTTCGAGGGTGGGAGCTGTCAGTCAGCAGGGCCTCTGGCCTGGGAGGCGAGCGGGTTTGGATGAGGCGTGCACAGCTCCACTCCAGCACGTTGCTGTCCCATGGCCCTGCTCACTTGTTTGTCCTGGGCCGCTTGGTTTTGAACTTGGGTTGCTAGTTTTAGTCATACTCTAACACAACAAACTAAAATTTTGTTTTTCCTACATCCATCACTTTTACATTTCTGGGGGTTTCCTCTCATTACTGGTTATGGAACCACAGTGAACCCCACATCTAAATGAGCTTGTTCATGCATGTACTTCGAGTGTCTTCACGGCAGTTTCCATAACTGCGAGACGTGATGATCCTCTAGGAATTAGTAAGGCTTAATCCCCATTAGAAAGGAGCTGGGTCCGTCCCGTCTGTGTGTCTGTCTATCAGCCAGTCAGTAAATCCTACTGAAAGCAAAGTTCACCAAATGGGCTGCCACCCAATCTGAGGAACGTCAGTGTTTATAGGATTGGGAGCATCCTGTAGAGCTCCTCTCTTCGTGCTGACGAGGTTTAGGACAGGCTGTCCTGTGCAGCTGGGCGGCTGGCAGTATAGTTGAGTGGGAGGGATAGACGTGGGTGGTAAGTGTCCTCTTGGACTCCAGGCCAGCCTCTGGGACCCCGGAACAGGGCAGAAAGCCTGCAGCCCTGTGGCTGGCAAAGGTGTAGATGCAGGGGTGGGAGTAGGGGCTGCCCTTTGGAACTGCAAGGAGTACAGTTGCTTTTCGGGTGGCAGCAGAGGGCTGGATGCAGAAGGCTTAGGGTGACTTGGTGACTAGAAGGGCCTGTGTGCCTCCTAACCGGGCGATGGTGGCCAGGGAAGCTACCTGCACTGACTGTACGGTTCACCCCCGGAACACAGCATGTGGGGGAGTCAGGCAGACCAGGGCTTTGTACATAGGGGAACAGGGGCTTGAAGGACCTTAGACGGGGCCCTGGGAGGGGCCATAGCGCCACACTGCACCTGGGCATCGGGTCTCGGCATGGGTGTCAGACATTTTCTGAATGTTTACGCAGCCTGCTTCCTCTGGGCTCCTGGAAACTGTGCTTGCCGTAGCGTCCATCAGTTTACTAAAGGTGCGCTGAGCCCCTCCCATGGGCCAGAGCCTGGCTGTTCCTGGGCCCCACACACCTGGCAAAAGCTGCACGACCCGGGTCTCCACCCTGTGCATACAGGCACTTAAGGAATGCCTTTGCTGACAAAGTATGCTTCTATTTTAGCCTTAGTTTCTCTGGAATTGTTTTTGAGATTGAGTTACTGGTAAATATGGGACCCGGGGTGGGACTGGCTGGTGGCTCTGCTGCCTTCCTCCAAGGGCCCTGGGGAGAAGATGTGGGACTGGCCACCTGCTGGTTTCTCCCCCATTTCCTGTTGGACCCCTGCCTCACAGTGCCCACCTCTCCCCACCCTAGGTATTGTTTAGAAAATGCTCCTGGAAAGGGCGATACTCTGTACCCTTGTGGCCCTGGGCCATGAACAGCAGGGAGGCCTGTGTTCACGGAGTTGGCATGCCGTGACTGGACTCAGGGAGGGCTAACCACCCGGTTCTGCTCCTGTCAGGAGGTGAGCACAGCTCCTGATGCCAGACTGCGCAGCGCGTGTCGTTACCTTTGTTCGTTTCCTTTTTTCTAGTGATACAAAAGAAGGGAAGCCCGGTGTTGGTGGATTCATGCCCTTCGGGTTCTCTGGTGTCCTGTCAGGGGCAGCAACTTGCTTCTATGCCTTCGTGGGCTTTGACTGCATCGCCACCACAGGTATGCCTGCCAGCCCACCGTGGTCCTGGGTCCTCCCACACCCCCGGCAAACAGGCCAGTGTTGCTTACGGCTTGCCATTTCCCTCTTTGCTGGCATGATCTGGTCACCACTCTTTCACACATGGGCAACCTGTAGATTTGTAGCTTCCTGCCAACCCCTCCCACCCCCAAACCATTATCACATCCCCAAGTGTCAATGCCTGATGGAAGCTGCATCTCGAATGAGGCTGAGGTTCTGCTGGTAGAATGGGATTGTAGCCATGTGACTGTGGCCTGATTTCATATCTGAGCATCTTCCGAGAGGAATGAGGCCATTCACAACATTGTCATCCTGGTGGTCTGAATGGCTTCAGTGAACCTCCCAGATTTTCTCTGCCAAAGGAAACAAATCTCTTCCTTTGCTGCCCCACCACGTTCAGGCTCAGAACACTGTCGCGGGGCCATGGGCTGTCTGATGTGTCTTTCAGCATAACGCCCTTCCGCTCCCAGAAGCGCAGGCCCCAGTGCCCACAGGGCCGAGCGCTGGGGGGGAGGTTTCTCACAGTGTTGCATAGGTTCCTGGCACTGAGAGCCTTGGGTGTCATGTGGGCAGATGTGCTGCCTCTTATTGTGTGCCCTCCTCCACTGACCCCTTGGTGCTTCTAGGTGAAGAGGTAAAGAACCCACAGAAGGCCATCCCCGTGGGGATCGTGGCATCCCTCCTGATCTGCTTTATCGCCTACTTTGGGGTGTCGGCCGCCCTCACACTCATGATGCCCTACTTCTGCCTGGACAATAACAGCCCCCTGCCTGACGCCTTTAAGCATGTGGGCTGGGAAGGCGCCAAGTACGCGGTGGCTGTGGGCTCCCTCTGCGCTCTCTCCGCCAGGTGAGACACCTTTCTGTGGTGGCTGCTCCTGGGGGTGGAACCACCAGCAAGGGTTAGGCTGTATCAGACCAGGTATAGCCATGTGAGACACGTCGGCTGCCAGCATTCTTTACCCTTGAAATAGAGCCGGGACCCAACCCAGCCCTGATCCTGTGGCTTTTCCCTTGTTGTCAGTATTCATCACCCCAGGACTTGTGTTTGTGTTACTGAGATTTTCATTTGAAGAACCTGAGGCTGGCTTTTCAGCATCATCTGCTTAGACTGGCTCTCTGTCCCTGACTCTGGCCCCTGGACCAGGCCGCCTGTTTGAACACCATATTTTGGCCCTCAGTTTGACTGTAATGCAAAAGCTACTTTGAAGAAGGGAATAAATGCCTTTTAATGAGAATTTTTTTGCCGCTGGTATTTCCTTGTAGCCTGTGTAAACAGAGCTATTTGGTAAATATTGATTTACCACAGGGAAATCCTCATGAATGCAGTGATGCTTGTATTTTCTGTTTGATTCAGCTGGAAATAATTGCAGGAATAAATACAGTTTTGCATCCGTAAAGACTGTATTGGGTCTCATGCTAGTGTATGTGAGGTAGATGTTCCCTATTCTTTACTTTAATCCATACTCACAGTGTGTGCTCTTTCTGGGATTGATTTTTTAAATGCCAAGTCTTTTAGCCACAGGCCTCACCCAGCATGGAGGGATGGCAGCTCTTGGTGAGCTCAGACTCCTCCTTCCCGGTAAACCTAGCATGGCCAGATGTGGTGCCTTTATCCCTTATGAGCCAGGGTTGCTCACGCGGTTTGCCTCTCCCCATCTAGTCTTCTAGGTTCCATGTTTCCTATGCCTCGGGTTATCTATGCCATGGCTGAGGATGGACTGCTATTTAAATTTTTGGCCAAGGTCAATGACAGGACCAAAACACCAATAATCGCCACATTAGCCTCGGGTGCCATTGCTGGTGAGTACTAGAACTCATTTCACATGGAAATATTTTCACAATTGGGTCATTGATCCCTATGGAGACATCTTGCATTGTTCTGGTCTGTGAGTAATTTTAACTGGTCTTTTTAACTCCTGGTTTTTATACTTGGAGCCTGGTTCATTGAAAGTTGACTGACCTTTTGACAAAAGTCAGAGGCAGTTTGACAGAGGATGGGATAGAATTTTCGAAGAGTTTGCACTCTGGTTTTCATCTCATTGGGCAGATCTTAGAACACACAGTATTCCCTCAAAACCTTTTTCCCCCAATTTCTTGACGTTTCCCTGTCAAGGTCAGGCTGACACCTTCCTGCATGACACAGGCCAAGGGAGACTTCACCGGTACCTGGAAATTCAGCATCCATGTTATGAATTCTCTGGAAAACAAGTGTCCCTTATGATCAGTGTTTTATAAAATGTGCTGCCTCTTCCCGAGGGAGTATCAAGGGTGTTGCTGATGAAGCTACTGCCCCTCAGTTGATACGGAATAGCAGACACAGTGGAGCTTCATCTTGTCAGATCAGCATTTTGTTGGATGAAATGAGTGGGGTGATGAACTCTCTGAGCTGTGTGGGTGTTCCAGGGCCCTAGATGAAGGGAAGGAGCACCCAAAAGGAAGCTCACGTGCACACTGTACCTGTGGTTTTGTTTCCTCCTTTCGCAATTGCATTTCATAGCCCCGAAAGGCAGATGTAGAGGTGGAGGCCCAGGGAGGTGAAATGAGGATGTGCACCCAGGACGGTGGAGCCGCCTTGTGATTCTAGGATTGTTTTTATGCCAAAGTGGCCAAGCTCCTTCCAGGGTCTGAGTAGAGCAGTCGGTCTTTTTGGCAAATTAGGGCATGTGGTATCAGTCACAATTTCCACTGCAGCGACTTGTCCAGTAGCCATTGGTAAGGCACTTACCTTCTTACATGAATGAATTATTTGCTAAGTTTTATTACCACCTACTCCCTTAGCAAACTCTGCTTAGTTTTGTGGATTAATATTATATAATAAAACAATCTTTAAATTTTGAAACATCTTATATGTGATTCTATGCTCTCGAGAGTTACCATATTGAAGGTGGTCATATTGAAAGGCACTATACATCAGAATGTGGCCAGTGTATTTACAGGATTAAAGATCTGGAAAAAAAAAAAAAAAACAGTTTTTTCAGGCTTTGCCCGGAATTTGATCATATTAAAGGCTGGCCTTGATTTCCTTCCCATGCTGATAGACGGAGATCAAACCATGCTCTTTGAAGTGACTGTAAAGTACGTGCCATTCACAAAATCCAGGCTTACCCTTTTCATTTGACAGCAGTGTGAAGTATTTGGTTATGTAAAATCACCTCACATGGAAGAAATTAGCGTCAAGTTCCCCGTGGGTAGGAACGTCGGCATTTGTGGCATGCACAGTTGGGTGCTGTTCTGATTATCAGAAGGTCCTCCCTCGTTGCTCTTTAATTTTATGTTTTATCCTCCATTTAAATTTGTTTTAGTTGCAGTGATCTAGAGGGGTTTGAAAGATATTTGTGGAGAAATAATGGTTTTGTGTTTATTTTTTAGCTTGTGTTGATTCCATGTGTTTTGAAAATATCCCAAAGCAGATCTAGGCAAGCTGTTTTTTAATGAGTACTTGACATACACACCCACATGAATAGACAGGCATGCTCTCACAAAACTCACAAAAGATATTCAAATAAGGGTGCAGGTTTTAATTACATTTTAAAGGCAAGGGACACGGTGAATGGGCTGATACTATATTGTTTGAGAACAACTCTTCAGGTTTCTTCCATGTGAAGTGACTTCACATGTGAAGAACTCTGCTTTCCTGCTCATCTTCCTGGGTTAGGACCCCCTATGAGTGCCCCCAGAGCGCCAGAACCTCCCCTTCTCTACCGCCCACTGTTGTACACTGATGCCTGTGTCTTGGGAGGGAGTACACTCAGGAAGGCTGGGCACTGGGGCCTGCTCTGTTCAATGGCGAATACCTAGAATCCAATGATGGGCACATCTTGATTGGAGCTGGATGATGGAAGATGGGTAGAAAGGATAGATGCTGAATGGATGGATGGGTGGATGGGGTGGGATGGGATGGATGGATGGATGGGTGGATGAGATGGATGGAAGATGGGCAGATGGATGAGATGGATTGATGGATGGTGAGTGGATGAATGAAAGATGGGCAGATAAACGGCTTAATAGAGAATGGATGGATCAATGGGATGGATGATAAATGGATGCACATGAGTCTGTGAGTCAGCATGGTCTAAAGATAGACACATAGGACTCAGTCGCAAGAACCTAGTTCACATCCTTTTACCTATGATTATGAGCTGTATGACCTTAGATAAGTCTCCTAACCTGTGTGAATGTTAGTTTCTCCATCTGTAGTGTAGGAATGGCTTACAGAGTTTCCATAAAAATCACAAGAATGAAAGTATTCTCTGTGCAAATGTCAACGATTATTACCGTCTGTTGAGGACTGTCTGTGATTTAATCCTGAGCTTGACTTCCCTTTAAGCTGTGTCTTTCCATGGGAAGGCTGGGGAGGGGGTGGGAGTAAAAGCAGCCCCCTTTGCTGCCCTGGATGGTGGTTGGTGGTGGTCCTGCTTGTCAGTGCAACCAGACGGCCATCCACAGATTCTGGTGTCTGTCTCTTCCCAGCTGTGATGGCCTTCCTCTTTGACCTGAAGGACTTGGTGGACCTCATGTCCATTGGCACCCTCCTGGCTTACTCGTTGGTGGCTGCCTGTGTGTTGGTCTTACGGTATGTATGGCTTTTTGGGGTTTTGTGACAGAAATGCAGAATGGAGGCACCTGGTAGCCTTTTCACAGTTCAGCTATAGTTTACATTATGAAACTTTTAGGTTGCTGATAGCTCCACTGGGAGCTGCCAAGGAAAGGGTAGGACCTAGGCTGACAGCCCAGTTAGGAAGATGTCCTTGGCAAAAGCTGGGGTGCCCCTCACCCTCCTCTATCATGTGCCCTCATTTTTCTGGCTAGATGTTGGGTGGATAGAGACAGCTTCTCAGCCCAAGTATTAGACCAGGATCCAGGGATCGGAATTTTTGAAGACTGATTGCAACTTGGTTCCAATTCTTGAGACAGACAGGATTGAGGGCTGCCTTGGTAGGAGTTAGGAAAACCCAAGGCCTGTGAAACCCAGGTCTGTGTGATGCTTTTGCAACTTTGTTGCACTGTGGCTGGACGAATGAATCCCACTGTGTGGGATGGGTACCCAGGTTGATGTTCAGGGTCACTGTCGAGGTCGGCTTGTTGTAGCCCGGTTGGGGCCAGGCAAGCCTCTTCCAGCTGCAGTAAAGCTGCTCTGGGCCTGGGCTTGGTGCCTTGGTGTTCCCACCTGCCCCACCACACACCCCCAAAGCACAGCCCTGGAGGCATTCATCCTGAGAGCCTGTGCTCACGGAGACACTCAGTACTGGTCTCCCCTCAAGAGCCTCCTTGTTTCTCTTCAGGGATCTCCACCTGCAAGGCCACTGATTGCATGTCCAACTTGCTCAGCAGCTGATGTACATAAAACCCAGGCTGAGCCTTAGCAGCAGCTCTGAGACTATTCCCTTGAGACTTGGGGGCCCCTTATTCCTCCCAAGGAGCCCAATGCTAGAATAGTCTCTGAGGTCCCCCACTTTCTTAATTGACCGAGTGGTGTTGCACAAGGGAATCAGTGCAAAAATGGTTAATATCTTTATACTCCCTCTTAGAATTGATCATATGCAAAATAATTCATACAGCACTCCGTTTTTGAAAGCTGGTGGAAAGGATTTGCACTCTGTTCGTTTTGGGTGGGAAGATAAGGAACCTCATTCAGAACGGATGCTTCACTAGCAGGTATCTCGTGTCTTGGAAACCATGCTGCAGGCTCGGCCCTCCGACCAGCCACATACAATGATTTACTCCAGGACGCTTGGAGTTTTAAAAATAAATTGATCCAATTAAATCACACAAACAGAATTTCTCAAATCCGTCAGCCTGCAGCCACATTCCTCTGGCTCTTGGTGCCAAATAGGATCCTGGTGTTCCTGCTTTCTATTTCTGTCCTTCTTTTTAGCTCCTTATACGTAGTTTTGTGGGAAGTGGCCTAGTATCTTTAGCATCTGAGGGCCACTGCCACTTCTCTCAGGGTATTCCTCGGGGTTGCTCATGGCGGAGTTCCTGTTGCCTGGAAACAGACCACGGAGGGTGTTCTCCAGAAGCAAGAGCAGGAGGTGACCTTCCCAGTCTCTCCTCTTCGTCTGCAGTGCAGCCTCTGACTATCTCCTTCCCATTTCATACCTCATGTCCCAGGCAGCTAACTTTGTAGTTTTATAGAAACTAACTTTGCAGAACGTGGGTTGGTGCATTGCCCTTTTGCTCTAAGTGGATAATGGTTGGTCACACAATACATTTCTTCCCAGGTATCAGCCAGAGCAACCTAACCTGGTATACCAGATGGCCAGTACTTCCGATGAGTTAGATCATGCAGACCAAAATGAGCTGACTAGCACCAGTGATTCCCAGTTGGGTTTTTTACCGGAGGCAGAGATGTTCTCCTTGAAAACCATACTCTCACCCAAAAACGTGGAGCCTTCCAAAGTCTCTGGGCTAATCGTGAACATTTCAACGAGCCTCATAGGTAAGAGCTAGCCCTTCCCTGGGGCCTTGCTTGCTGGCATTGCGTGGTTTCTAGGCAGTGGAGCTGGAGTTGGGGGAGGGTGCCAGAGAAGACGAGCGTCTGCCTTGCTCCTGGACTGAGGCATAGTTACTCTGTGCTAACTGCTGTTGATGCCTTCGGAAATGGAGCCTCTCTCTCCCCAAGTTTTGGGGAGAGCAGCACATGCTTGTGGGAAACTGAGAAATGGCTGAGTTGCAGCTCGCTCTGTCTCTTCTTCCCCCTTAGCTGTTCTCATCATCACCTTCTGCATTGTGGCCGTGCTTGGAAAGGAGGCTCTCACCAAAGGGGCGCTGTGGGCAGTCTTCATGCTGGCAGGGTCTGCCCTCCTCTGTGCTGTGGTCACGGTCGTCATCTGGAGGCAGCCCGAGAGCAAGACCAAGCTCTCATTTAAGGTGAGCAGCTTGGCCTAGTGGGCCTGTTGCAGGGAAGGAACCCTGGTACACAGACCCCAGCTCTGCACAGGCTCAGCTGGGCCCGGGTGCCCGACGAAGGTTTTAGCCGGCTAGTTCAGGCACTGGGACAGGGGCCCTGAAGGCACCGAGAGGACTGGACCCTCCTCCCCTGGCTCTCCGGTGGTGGGCCGCTTCTTGTAAATGCCTGCCCAGGTTGATTGCACTTTTCCAAGCCTTGGAGACAGGCAAGGCTTCTACATGTTTAGATTACACAAATAATAAAAAAGACCTTAGAGGTAAAATGGAGGTCCATCTTCTAGGTCCTTTCTTTAGTGGGAGAATCATAAGAGAGAAAAATCAGAATGGAGCTCACTTGGCACTCAGAGCTTAGAACCAAATCCCCACCTACTAGGATTTACCCTTGGGTTTGTGTGTGGAGTGGGGGTGTTGGGGTGTGGTGGTGGGCACGCACCCTCTCTTCCCCACGCTCACCCGACAGTCCCCATCACTCTCAGGTGTGCTGCCTTTTGCTAGACAGTGTTACTGAACTGTTGGAACTGGCGCCACTGCCGCGGATTGATGCCACCTCCTGTCTCTGCAGGTTCCCTTCCTGCCAGTGCTCCCCATCCTGAGCATCTTCGTGAACGTCTATCTCATGATGCAGCTGGACCAGGGCACCTGGGTCCGGTTTGCCGTGTGGATGCTGATAGGTATGTGATGCTGCCGCCAGCACGTCCACGATCCTGGCTTCTCTTGGGGGCCTCCCTTGTTTCAGGATTTATAACACAATGACACACATGCAGTCAGCAGCTTTCTCAGAGATAATGCTGAATCCCTGGTAGGTTGTGAGTCCTCTCCTCCCTGTTAGATACTTTTTGTTTCCATTGCCTCTTGCCCAAACTTTTTATTCTGTTGGGTAAGACCTTGATATTAACAGGAACAAGGTGAGGAGTCAGCTAGAGATAAGGTACCAGTTATTTTCACCCCAGACAGGAAAGTCTGGCCTGTGTCTTTTGGACCCCTGGCCTGCCCAGCACCAGATTGGTATGGGCACGAGGCCCAGGCAGGGGTGGCTGTCATGGGCTCCTCTGTGATGGCGTCTTCTCTGTGAAGGACGGTGCTTTGGAGCCTATGGGTCATGCCACTGGGGTAGGGGCTTCCACGTGAGATAGATCACCAGGGCTGGGTGCAGCCTGTAGGGCTGGCCGAGTCCCACCCCTCTGGGCATCTCACCCCAGGGGCTGGAGGGGAGGGACTCATTTCCTTCCTCTCAGCATCTGAGTGGTAGTGCTGATAGCCAGGGATGTGGTCCTTGCCATTGCCCCTCAGGACCATGTCCCCACAGCCTCCCAGACCCGTATATGCATGCTGTGGGCAGATGGCTGCTGCCTCATCTCCTAGGACCCTTGAGGGGTGCTTTTCCTCCAGGAAACACTTAGCGGCCCATTTTCTGCTGGCACCAAGGTGGGTCCTCATTCTCTGCAAAGTGCAGCCCATGTCTAGTTAGACATCTCCTAGAGCGTTTCTGAGAAAACGCTGCTCACAGCCCACTGTGGTCATTTCCTCAGGGCCTGGTGAAGGCAGAGGGTACCTTTTCCCAACGTCCCTGTAAAGTCCCCGTGTTCAGGAGCCTGAGCTCCTTTCCTGGGTTCTGCGTGTCTGAGTCCTTGCTTTGAGGCCTGCTTTCCTGTGTCAACCACACAAGGTGGCCCTGGGGCCATCTGGCCACAGTCCCCGGGCAGGTGGTTAGAAGCATAGGTCCTGGACCCACCCGAGTCCTGGATGCAGGAACAGGCTGTGGACTCCTGCGTGAAGTCCGTTCCCAGGGCTCAGTGTGTTGCAGTCCGTTCCCAGGGCTCAGGATGTCTCTTACAGTCTGATGGTCAGTTGCATGGAGGAAACGGGGCAGTGGGATTGTCCAGGCTGAGAGCCTGGAGACCTCCAGCACCTGCGGGAAATCCCGTCTCCATAGTGTACATCCCTGATACTCTTGTGGCCTCAGGGGGCATTAGGGGGTTAAGGTGAAGGACCCAATGGCTTCTGGTGGCCCTGGCCCAGCTGCTCTGTCTGCTCAGGAAACGCCGCAGCGTGAGGCCATCCGGAGGAATGTAGGGCTTTGCCAGATGTAGAGGCAGACAGTGGTTTTCATGTGGCAGCTGTTCCAGATGTGGAAAGGTCCCGAGGGCTGCTGGCTGTGGGCTCATGCCAGGCAGGAGCAGGCCGCCTGAGAGGGTTTGCTGTGGGGCTGCCCTGGGCTCTAAGCCCTGCCCGCGGTGGTGTAGCCAGCACTCTGTTCACACCCATCTCTCCTGTCGGCCCGCAGGCTTCATCATCTACTTTGGCTACGGCCTGTGGCACAGCGAGGAGGCGTCCCTGGATGCTGACCAAGCAAGGACTCCTGATGGCAACTTGGACCAGTGCAAGTGACGCACAGCCCCACCCCCCGGAGGTGGCAGCATCCCACCCTCCCCTCCAGTGCAACAGGAATCACCCGCACCCACATCCCCACTGTAGCCAAAGGTGCAATTACTTGAACTGCAGCCCCAGCCCACTCAGCTCTGCAGCTGGCTCTCCAGGCCCTGGTCACCTCCAGACAGCTGCCTGGCCAGGGCCACTGGGCTGCGGCTGGCCACTGTGTCTCTTCACTTCTCTGAACAAAGAGAGTAGGTCCTCTCCTACCAGCTCAGCCCTGAGCTGCTGCAGCCTCAGGCAGAGTGGAGGTCACCTTCTCCCCTTATCTTGGGAACCAGGCCTTCCTCCCGGGGACTGTTCTGGGGTTGAAATTCTGCATACTCCAATCTTTAGCAGCCGTCTTCCCGCTCAGCCCCAGACACCCAGCAGTCAAGCCAGATGAGTACCACAAAACTGTGTCCCCACCAGCCCCCCGCCCGCAGAGCCAAACGATATAGTACACTTAAAAGGAAAATCAGGCCTATGGTTTTTCCCCGTTGTGTTCAGATGGGTCGTTAGGACTGGACCGGGCCCACACCTCAGCTTCTGAGGGCTTTGCTGTGACACCACGGCAGCCCCCCGGGGCTGGGCAGCAGGGCTGAGGGCAGCTGGTTCCTCGCAAATGAGGAAGAAGGGATTGCTCCCATTAGGGCCTGGGGTGGGGGGGTGGCCGGCTCTGCTTGTCCGTGTGTGTGCACATGTGTAAACCAGGGACCTCCTTCAGCCCACGCCCTCCAGGCCTGGGCCGGTTCTTGCTGCTCCTGCCGTCTCCCCAACCGGCTGTGTCCTGAGTAACTGGAACATGAGACTGTACCTGTGCGGGACTGTCCTCTCGAGGCAGAGTTGGGAACTTTCCTGTGAGTCGCCGCCACTCACTCAGTCTTACCCTCCCATGCTTGGAACCAGTCTATTGGCTCTTGTGAGGTTCTCAAGGTGGGTGGCAGCTCAGCCCAGGGTCATGTCATGTCGGGTCATGGTGTTTCTGGCCCTGACATGAGCTGCCCAGCCTCTTTGTTATGTATGATGAAATTGAAATCAAGCCACAGCCCATGAAATTGTGAATCACTCCACCAGATTAAGTTAGGGTATAACGTTAACTTGGAAATGGCCATGTCATCGCCCCCTGAGGTTGGCGTATTGCTGAGGTGCTTGGGCCGTCGGGGAGGTGATTTCCAGGCATATTGTTGTCCCTTCTGTGTGTTGGATGCTGCGGACCCCACGCCTCCGCAAGTAGAAGGGTCCAGAGCATCTCCCCTGCCTCTGCTGTCTGGGTCAGGGCCTGCAGCCAGCACCATTTCACACACTCCTTGTAGATGGAAGCCAGAGGAAACCTGGGTGCGGGTGGAGCCCTACTTCCATTGAGAGTATAATTCGAGAGACGGAAGGCTGATGAGGGAGGGAGAGGGAGGTGGGCATTTTGGACACCAGGGGAAATGGAGATCCTGCTTTCAAAGCTCAGTTTCCTTTCCATTTCTTCCTAGTCTGCCCTTTGACACAAATCTGGTAGAAAGAAGCCTGATAAATTGAGGGCCCTTATGCTCTCCCTGTGCTGGAAGATTCTCAGAGAGAAGTATGAGAATTTGTGAACTTGCCAGCGGAGGACGGGTGGGCGGCCTTGGGCTGGGCTGGGCCTCCGTATCAGGCCTGCTCACCTTGCTGGGAGCTTTGTTCTGATCTCATTTTGAAAGTTCCAGAGGGAGCATCATAAGAGCCCAAAGCTCTGATTTCCAAAGAGAGGGATTGACATTTATGTAGATTGGTGCTGTAACATATTTTGATAAATACTAACTTATTTTGTTGGGGTTTTGATTGTCTCTTGTCGCAGGACCTGGTAGTTATTTGCTTGATTGTTTTTTTTTTCCTGTTATTTTCTACATAGGTAAAGAGAATTCAGGGGAAGGAATTTCCAAGAAAAGTTAAAGTGGTGGGAGAGTGAGTTACTTTTTTTTTTTTAAACTCTAGTTTTTTTTTTCTGGCTGAAATTTCCATGCAAGACAGCACCCAATAGACTATTTAGAGTTGACACTTGAGTGGGCGCCATGGATCATTCTGTAGATTGAGAGGGCGTGTCTCCCCTGCTCCGAGTCCCATCACCGGAGCTCGCTGACAGCTGGGAGTGTGGCCTTCCTCATGCAGAAGCCTTAAAGCTCGATGCGGAAGCATGCCCAGCTCGGCAGGGATGGGATCCCCCTGCACCCCCACCTTAGAGGACGGGCTTCCTAGTTAGGAAAGGACACATGGGGGTGCCTTGCATAAACAGTTCACTGGCCACCATGCTTTTCTGAGAAGTTCTTTTGTACAGTTGCCAGGGGTTTTCTCTGCTGCTTGGGAGGGCGTGACTTAAGTCATGGTGATGGAGTAAGCCTCACAATTTTAGTAGACCTTTTTCTTATCACATCCCTCATTTCTTTCCCTGAAATAAAAATACACACAGCGAAAAAAAATGATAGTTTCACATCTCTTAGTTCCCTTGCCTAAACGAGAATATTGTTAGTTCCACGGCTGGCCAGGATTTTCCTTCATAGTCAGAACTCCCACATTACTAGAGGCACACCGGCCACGGGAGTATTGTGTCTACTTTTATCTGTGCAACAGCCACAAATGCCCACATTGGAAAGACCCATTTGTGATGGGTAAACGTCCCTTCCTGTCTCCCACACCCCCCTTGACCACCCTGCATGTGCTCATGACCTCCAAAGGCCCACGCTCATGAAGCGGCAGATCCCCAGGCCCCCTGCCTCAGGATGTCTGCTGAAGATGGGGACGAAGGGGGTCTCCAGAGAGGCATCAGGGGCCTTGTGGGTGGCCGACTAGGGAGCCAGCTTACAGGAGGGCAGCTCTGTAGTGGGGAGGGGCACCGTCCGGAGACCAGGCCTCTGCACGTCCCCACCCTCCTTAACCTGCTCACACCCCTGTGGCCGAGGCTTTGTGTACTGGATGTTTTTTTCCAAATGAAGAGGACAGTGATAGATGCATTTTCCCCAGGCTGTTTCAGAAAGATCACGAAATGTATGCTGTTGTCAGAATTGCTCAGCTCTCCCCCCACTGTTGGTTTTGTTTTTGCAGCAGCAAAAACTCTTTCCACTGCGGCTTTTATCTCTCTCAGGCAACCAGCCACCTGGTCCCTTGTGCTGCGACTCTAGCACAGTGGCCAGGATCCAATTCAAGTCCAGGGGTGACCACAGGACGGTGGAGGCGGCGGGCTTCTCCACCCATCCCAGCTGCCAGGGCCCTGATGCACTCCCTCCTGCCCCTTCAGCACATCCATGTGCACAGCTGGAGGGGCACCTGGCCTGCTCACCTTCGTCCAGACCCGTGGAAATGCTGGGGATGCCAGCTCCTCCCCACCTTGCCCCTGCCACTGAGCAGGCATTAACCGGCTGGTGTTTGCAGTCCCACATGGTGTGGCCTCCAGAGCAGTGAGTTCCAGTGGGGGGGCATGGGCATCACCCAGGCTTACAGGGCAAGGTCTTGGGCACCGTGTGACGCAGGACTTACCGCTAAAGCAAGCCTGCCTGGCTCTGTGCCAGGGCCCTCTCTCCTGATTCACACATCCCATTTTTACACAGACCCTTCCTTCTTAAGGGCTGACAGCTCAGTCGGCAGCCAAGAACCCACACCATGAAGACAAGGAGTGAGGGGCCTTTGTGCCCAGGCCCAGCACAGCTGCATTCTGGAGTGGAAGTGAGGCATGTTTGTGTCCATACCTCTGCTAGTTCCCAGGATGGGGAAATTGCTGGGTGGAGGTGACATGAGGCTTGTGAGTGGAATGGTTGCGGAGTTCGCCTGTAGACCGATCTGAATATATGTCATGTATAATTGTTATGTGTAATTTAAGATATATCTGTTTGCCATCGTCATGGGAAGATATGTAAGGCTCTTAAGGGAGAGGGAGGCATGCATGCTGTCAGGCTCCTGTGGACTCTGTCCTAGTAATGAAATGCTCTATCGATCCAGTGGTGCCAGAAGCTACACTCCATGTGTCGTCGTGCTTAGGAATGATGCCTAATGGATTTTTAAGGCAAAAACTGTCAGCCGACGCCCACCATCGTCTCTTGCATCCAGTCTTTCCGTGCCAGCGTCTCAGAGCCACAGCACTCTCTTGCCATCGGGACTGGCTGGGCATGGCGTCTCGGAACACAGTTACCATGGAGCCCTCCTGGATCACTCTACAAATGTGCTGAGTGCCAGCTGAAAACCCCACAGGAGATGGAGTACCTTGGTCAAACTTAGAGAAGATTTTCTCAGGGTATTTACCAGTGTGTCCAGCAGGTCAGGAAGCAGGGATGGAAAGACGCATTCAGACTGCTAATTTATTAACAAGGCAAATGAGTTCATGTTTCTTGATGACAAACTATTAAGTTTGGGACTTATTTTCCCATTCGAGAAGTTATAATATATAAGATAAGTTTCCTGCTTAAGTTGTGCCTTTCAGCTTCAACGAGTTTAAGGAGCACTAAGGGTAATGATACCAATGAGGATTGGTTTATTATCAAACCTGAATAGCTGTGGTTTCTCCAGCAAACGTTTTCTTCTACTGAACATGGAGCCATTATTAAGAGTTGTGTGTTTTTTTAATTATGTACATTTGTATATTTTTTTTCTTGTTTGATGTTCTATTTTTCTAATAGTTTTCTTATAGTTTCTTAAAGTTGCGACACTAGACGTAGATTCTGATGCTAACTGCAAATCAGGCTGGCCTCTGCTGGGTCTCTCCTGCTTTTATTTTACTGTAAGGACAGTGTAGTTGTCGTCCACCACCTTTCAAAAAATGTGAAACTGCCCCCCCCGTGCCCCGCCCCCCCCACCCCCCGCCTTTTTGCTGACATCACTGTGTACATTGACAGCTTCCTACCATACTTTATGTTATAAAATCAAACTATTTTGTGGTACATTATCTCATGCTTCCGCAAATTCTAATAAATTCTGTCTATGGCTTCCATGTGCACGGTGTGATCTCAAGAATCTTAGCAGGTCTCTGCTGGGTCCCAGACATGGCGGTGCCCCATAGAGAGTTCCAGTCCCACCCTACTTCCCACAGCCCATGACTTTTGTCCCATCTTCTCACTTTGCTGCCATTTGGAAATGAAATCCTCATTCCAACAATTTGAGCCTCAATCAGGGAATCCTTTGAGCCCCCATTCTGGATGCTCTGATTATCTCCAGATTTGTTTGGCTTTGGGGCCACAGAGGTCTTCCTTCCAACCAAACTGTTGGGGAAAAGCGACTCAGAGGCTGCCAGTTGTCAGGCATTTGCTGAAGGACTTGGTCTCTGGCAGCAAAACGCTCTTACCCATTGCCACCCCAGCCTGTGCTGGCCTGCAGACACACTATCCCGTTGGAGGGAGCAGAGGGCAGAGGGGCTGGGGTGAGGAGTGTAGCCATTTTGGTAATTGTTGCTGAGTCCCTCAACTTCCTTGAGAAAGGATCCATTTTTTTTTTGCACAGGAGGCAGATTCCATCAAGTGGGCCTTGATTTCCAGACAGTAAGATGCAGTGGTTCACAGCAGCTATACCAGCAGATCTGCTGGCCACAAGAGGCTTGACCTTTTGAGTTTTGTCAGCCGATGGATGGTGCTGAAGGCAGACACTCAGGGAGCAGGGAGCAGTGTGGGGAGTAGGGCCGGTGAGCTGCTCTCTGGACCCCAGCTTGCCTATGATCTGGAACATGTGATGAGCATGTGCATCTGAGAGCACCTTGCACAGTTCGTGTTTGTTGGCCACAGAGAAAACCAGACTACAGAGCTTGCGCGGTGTAGAAGCAAGGCTGTGCGGCATGTCCCAGGGACACGGGGTGGGCGTGGTCTCTGGCCTGGTGTGATTACTGCGGGAGGTTCTGCTGATGCAGAACCGGATCCACAAAAGGCGCCAGCGTCCCAAAGCAGCCCAGAGAGCCCGATGGACTCCAGAATTGGGAAATAAGCATGGAGCATGCCTTGATCCTGGATTTTTGCAGGTGTCCTGTAGGACGGCGACCTCTGGTCCCTGAGGATGACTTTGAGCCAAGTGCAAGGTGAACCCCAGGTTTCCGCAGCGCCACACTGCCACCTAGTGGCTCTGCTTGGTGCTGCGCAGGCAGCTTGAAAAGGCCATGCCAAGTCTTTGAGCCGTCTCTTCGAAAACTCCTCAAGGCCCTGTGGGACGATGCCAGGCTGGAGGCTTGAGAGGCACCACCTGGAGAAAGTTTTTCCTTGTACAGTTTGGTTATGAAGCACCTCTGGTTAATCAAAAGCTGCCCCCAAATGGCATTCACAGCAACAAGGAAGCCTGTGGAGCCACAACCTGGGATGCTGGCCCTGCCTTTCAAACCCAGCTTCCAGCCCACCCTTGCTCAGACACCACATGGATCTGGGCAGGGTCTGGACTTGCGGGGACGGGGGATGGGCTGAAACCAACTACAGATAAGCCCATCAGCCCCCGGTCAAAGGGAACAGTTCAGTTTTACCAAATGAAGTTCAGTTTTACCTGTCCACCCAGCCATAAATATGGCCATTTAAAAAATGCAGTTTGAAGAAAAGGCTTTGGGAATGAAACAGGCAATATCTTTGCTAATGGAACAGCTTTTTGGCTCTCGATTGTGGCGGAGCACCTAATTCCAGTGGATTTCAGACTGTGTGTGGAAGAAAAAGCTGTGGCTGGGTGGGACCTTACTGGGGATGCTTTTAAATTCTCTTTAAAACAATGCACCTGATGAGTGTCGGCTGGTACAGAAGCGCTGTTACCGCCATGAGGGAGGCGGGACGAAGCCCAGTGCCTGCCACTTGAATTTGGTGGTGCAGTCATGCGAGAAGGCAGCATGAAGGGGCAGCGGCTGCGTGGCAGGGGCTCGCTGGGTGCCTGTGGTGTGGGTGCCACAGAGGGAGGAGGTATGGGCCCCCAGGAGGTCTGTACACATGCACACTGCAGGGCTGTCTGAGCTCAGAGCTGCAGGGCATCCCCACCCTGCCTGGTCCTGGCACTGGAAAAAAATTCCTGACTTAGTGAGTGAGGAAGATTGGCCTGCATCATCACGCTGCATTGAGAATGACCCAAGCCTGGCAATCAGAAACACCAGATGTCTGTCTTGGTTTTGGGGCAAGAGGTTTGAGAGATGCAGACTGGCTAACAAAAACATTTAGCAAATGTAAGTGAATTGTGAATTAACACACTCTGTGCCACCAGAATGCCTTACCAGCCTTTGGGGTGTGTGTGTGTGTGTGTGTGTGTGTATGTGTGTGTGAAGCATTTGACAGGCTCTCACGTGGGCAGGAGCCTCACCACTTGTGGTCATGGATGAGGTGAGGGTGCAATCCCAGAGTCATTGCTCAAAGCGTACACACTGACGCAGCAAAGGTTTTGAGAACAGCCTTCGACTCCAGTCACAGGTGGAAAGCTGTCCAACCATTTGGCTTCCCCCATGCTTAACTCTGTAACTCCCTTCTTGCTAGGGTGATACAAGCCTCCCACACAGGGAGAGCCAGGCTCTCCAAGGCTCCTTGGCACAGAGGAGGTCAGTGAGTAAGCTGACTTGCAGAGTCTCCTCTGCCTACTGCAAATTAGCCGTGGAAGGGGACACCGCTCTCCATGAACAGTGGAAAGCTGACTCTAATCTCACCTCCTGCTTGTGCCAGTAGCTGCCACCTGCCTTGTTCACTGCACGTGGTGAGTTAAGGACAATGGGAGGAGGCCATGATGAAAGTGAAGGGCACACAAAACACCCCAAAAGAAACAAATGGGTTAGGACACGTTGCCAGGTAGATTATTAAGAATTGCCATCAATACCCTGGGAGGCCTGGATGACCCAGAGGTGGCCCTGGGGGGTTCTCTATGAGGTCCAGAAGTAAACTGTGTGTCGTCTACAAAGGGTCTGTTCAGTATTTGTTTAGGAGGGACTTGCAGAACTCTCTAAAACAGCAGCCACTCCCTCACACCCTGCAAACCACCACAGGGAACCTGCGAACCCAGGCTCCTCCCTTGTTACCAGTGCCCCACCGCAGGGAGCCCGCAGACCTGGGCTCCTCCCTTGTTACCAGTGCCCCACCGCAGGGAGCCCGCGGACCTGGGCTCCTCCCTTGTTACCAGTGCCCCACCGCAGGGAGTAGTGCCCCACCGCCGGGCTCCTCCCTTGTTACCAGTGCCCCACCGCACCGAGCCCGTGGACCCAGGCTTCTCCCTTGTTACCAGTGCCAGGCACCTGTGGGACACTCCAAGGACCAGCTGGCTAAACAGGCTGTAGTCCAAATTGAAGGCCATCGGGATGAAGGGAGCAAGCACTTTTGGGCTGAAATGAATGAATGACCTTTCGTGTCCTCTTTCCAGCTGACTCCAGCACACCCTGGCCTTGCAGAGCAGAGGCACTGAGCTCCCAAGTCCGGGGAGGGGCTGCTCACGCCCCCTGGGCTGGAAGGGTGGGTGCAGGGACCTGGGACCTGCTGAGTCTGGGAAAGGGGAGCTCCAGATTTCTTTCATGGACGAGCACTCGACCCTGGCACATACAAAAAGGAGTCCAGCCTGCAAACACCCCCACTTGCCTCCCTGCCTGGAATCCCCAGCATGAGAGGGACAGGTCTCCAGTTACATCAAGCAGGTATCACAGAAAGTCCCTCGAGTTTACTTTAATAGGCTTTAGAGTTAAACACAAATATGCAACACAAACCATAGGGGCAGGAAAAAAGATGTTGTGACCCCATTCATTCAACTAATCACGGTTGGGGCCGCCCCCATCCCCACCTGTTCTGACATTCGACCAGAACCTTGTCCCAGCATGTGGTGGCCAGGGGCAGGGGTGGGGGCAGGCCGCCCACGCATCTCCAAACGCCACGAAGAGACCGGTGGTATCTGGTGGGTCTGTCTGAGGCAGGTGCGGAGGCTGCAGCATCCAAACGTGGAAAGGTCACTCCAGCCTGGAAGGGGACAGAGGCGGATGCCATGTGGAGAGAAATCCTAATCCTGATGGCGTGGAGGGATGGAAGAATCGAGGAGGAGGCATAGCAGCTGCCACCCCATGGCTCAGATGAAGAGCCATACATGATGGGTGTCCGTGACAAAAAAAAAAAAAACAAAACACAAAAACAAACGAAAATGAAGCCAGGGCCATGTGGAAATTAGCCCAAGTACCCAAGGTCAGGGCGGATTAGGGCAAAGCTCTCAGCAAAGTCCACCTAATGAGGAATTACTTAGTGCTAACAATGCTACAACTCCGACCACAGCAGCCTAACACACTGTACCACGTCCTAGCATCACACGGAAGTCGGTATTGCTGTGTAACTGCATTTAGCAGGTGCGGCTATGTAAGCAGTTCCTAATTCGGACAGCTAAGCTGTAACCGAATTTGTGTTTGCAGGTTGTGGCTGCTACAAGAATAAATAATTGTGTACTTAGTCAATGTGGCATGATCTACTCTAATGGAATGCCCAACTCAATATCACAGTATCATGCAGAGCCACTAAAGCAGAGAAATGGTGCTTCCATGTGGATTTACTGTGTATGTCCCCAGAAGGAACAAGACCCTTGGAGGCTTGCTGGAGATGTACCTGAGGCCCGGGAGCCCAGCTTGGACTCATGCTAGGGCCAGGGACCATGTCTGTCTTTGTGCTGGCCACACATGTGCCGAGTAGGCGTGCCCTGGACAAGCCGACCTCATCCTCGGGCTGTTTCTTCCCTGCTCCATGGCTCCAGCCCCTGTAGGACCCTCTCATGGTTCTTCTCATCTTGGACATGCTCAAAGACAGGCCTGTGCTCAGGATAATTCTGGGGGGCCTCAGAGAGATAGTGCAGGGTCTTTGTCATACACAAGGAAACAAGGGCATCATCATCATCACCATATGTGTTAAAACTACTTCCTTTTGTGTATCATGCTCCTAATCTTCCACACCACTACATGAGTACTGTTTACATCCTAATTCTACCATTTTAGAGACAGGTGCCAGTCCAGGATGTGGTGCCGCCTGGCTGGCTGCTTCA